ATAAACAGGATTGTTAATTAATTTAACTGCACTCTGATTATCCACATTTAATTTGATATAATCATCATAGCTCGAAGAACCGATGGCCGTTGGGGCAAAAAGGTTCTCGAGTGGAGACCACGTGACGGCAAACGCAGCGTAGGAAGGCCTCCCACAAGGTGGACGGACGACCTAGCCAAGATCGCAGGGACGCGTTGGATGCAGGCCGCTAACGACCGGTCGAAGTGGAAGTCAATGGGGGAGGCCTATGTTCAACAGTGGACGTCCTACGGCTGATATGATGATGATGATGATGAATCATAACTTTCACCTAAATCAGACAATAGCTGCTGCAACCACAATACCTCTTTAGTACATTCACTAGCAGCTACAAATTCAGTCTCTGTGGTGGAAAGAGCAATGGTCTTCTGTTTCTGACTGGACCATGTGATTGGTCCTCCATTCATCATAAACAAGTATCCTGTAGTGGACTTACGTGTATCAATATCACTTGCAAAATCTGAATCCGAATATCCAACAAGACCTTTGCTTTCTCCATTGTACTTTATACACAATGTTTTAGTTTTTATTAAATATCTAATTATACGTTTAACAGCATTTACATGTTGTGCACTTGGATTGTTTACATATCTGCTTAATATATTTACAGCAAATGAGATGTCGGGCCTTGAGACAGAAATCAAAAACGTATAGCTTCTCTATAAGGAAAATCAACAACAATTTCATCAAAATTCTTTGAAATAATAACATTGACATCTGCTGGAGAGTTGACAGGATTTGCATCACTCATACAAAACTTCTAAATAAATATAATTTTTCTACTGAATGTAAATACTGTTATTCACACGCTCTATTTCCATGCCTACAAAATACTTGAACTTTAACTCTTTAATTTTAAAAGCTTGTTTTAAATATTCTAATATCTCTTTTATAAGTTGTTTACTTGAAGATATTACAAGAGCATCATCAACATAAATTATTAAGAATATTTTAGTCCTATCAAAAAGTCCTAAATAAATACAATTATCAGCCTGAGATTGAACAAAACCATATTTAAGCAAAAACTCTTTCTTGTCCAGTTTCTATATCATCTGTGAAGGTTTCGACTGGCAGCTCGCGGTATCATAAAATTTTCGGTGAGTTCCCTGAAATAACACGGCCAGCTCGTACACAACACACAATCGGTGTCAACTAAAAATGCAGTTTTTGACGTACGGTCCGTGACGAACAGGCAACCAGTTGTATGTGGATAATCCTCGCCATTAAGGACTGCCCTTTGAGTTTCCCGCCTTGAAGTCGCATGGCGCCACGCATTTATTAGCACGGCCACCAAATTTGGCTTGGTACCAGCACAGTGGAAACTTTCTATAACGCCCTTGTGATCTCGAAGTAGAACGCTCTCGACGTTGGCGGGTTCGAGAACGAGACCTGCCATTTACCTGAGTGGTCAATTTATTGATCTGCCTACGTAGTTCAGCGACCTCTCGCGTTAGAGCGTCGACACTGGAACCAGGTGATGCTGTTGCTGTTGAGCTGGTTGCTGCTACCTGCGGTGATTCCGGTACGATGTCCTGGATCCGGTCCGTCAGATCCGCAAGCACATCCAGTGATGCGCTGGGTTGGGCCGCTAGGACGGTTTGGATATTTCGTGGAAGTCGGCTAGTCCAAATCGTTTGCAGGAAATCATCAGGAACTTGGGGTCCGGCGAGGCTTTGGAGGTGACGCAGGAACTGCGAAGGCTTCCTATCGCCTAACTCCTCATGCATCAAAAGTTGTTTCACCTTCTTTTCGTGGGAGGTACTCAACCGTTTTATCAACTCCGTTTTTAATTTTAAATATTTGTCGTTAGCGGGTGGATTAATAATTATGTCTTTACCTCCTTTGAAAATTGATGGTCTATCTGGCCGATGACGTAGCTAAATTTCGTGGAGTCACTCGTAATGCCTGAAATTGCGAACTGTCCTTCTACTTGTGCAAACCATATTTCTGGTTCTTCCGGCCAAAAGGGAGGTAAAAATTGAAATGGCCTAGAGTCAAAGTCATTTTTGTTCGGGTGTCTATACCTTTCAACTTAATCTTTTCAGGAACTAATTGAGGCATATTTTCTATGGATGACCTTTTAATGAGACTAACTGAGGATCCTGTGTCAACAAGGAAGGATAATGTTCGTGGTGTAATGTTGGTCTTAAGTTTAATGAATGGTAGGGATCTTTTATTTGAGTTGTAACTAATTTCGTAAATCCTATTGTCGTTAGTGTTGTAATTAATGTTTGTGTTTTCAGAATGATGGTGTTTGTTTTTAGTATTTGTACATTTCGATTTAGTAGGTTCAGCGATTGCTTTCGATTTAGTATTGGATTCAGTGGATACAGTGGGTATAGTAATAGATTTATTTTTATTTCTAATTTTTGTATCGTCTTGAGGTATTATTTTTCCCGCGCGATACTTTTCAGGAAAAGTTCTTAGTTTAAATTATCGGTGTTGTCTACTTCATCAACCCCTTCTTCAGGTTGTTCAATATAGTGTTCAGTGAAATGGACGGGATTAGTAAAATTCCTTTGTTGATTGCCACTAGTGCTGGGTCTATTCGGGTAAGAATTGGTGTTGTTACGATTATACGAGTTATTAGGATTTCTAAACCGATTGTTATTAAATTCCCGTTTCCTACAATTTTCTAGTGTATGTCCGGGATATTTGCAGTAGCGACATACGTTTGTGTAATTTTGTATTAGGCGTGGTGTCTGTGATGTTGAATGAAAGTTAGGCCTGAAATTCGTGGATGGGCGAGATCGACTCTGTCTGAAGTTAGTGGGTGAAGATGATGTTTGTAGAGTACTTCTTTGAGGATATCTGCTGGACTTTTTCCTCGGAAACAGCGAAAGTCATTGCAGCACGCGAAAGTGTCCGGATCACGACATTGGACAATCGTTGATAATTGAGGATGGAGACCGTTAATAAAAGTATGTAAAGCTAAATCCTGTATAGCGGCGAGTCTGCCAGACAGTTCGCCCTTTTTCCTAGTTGGAATTGAGATATTAATTTCGGTTAACAAATTTTGATAGGCAAGTTTCTACTCGGAGTGCGAACTGCTTGACGGATTCGTTATGTTTTTGGCTACATTCCTGAAGGTCAGATAGAAGGTGTGCATAGTGTTTGGATTCAATGAATTGTGCTTTTAAAAATTCTTCCAACCGAGGCCAATTTTCGAATTCTTTAATCGAGCAGGCGAGTGCGGCTCTGCCTTTTAATTGACTCAAAATATATCTAAAAAAAATATCGGCTTGGGGTGGTGAGGCTAGTTGCATTGCATTTCGGCAATTAGTTATGAAAAAAATCAAATCTTCGCGGCTTCCGTCGTAATTACTTATAAATCTAGCAAGGAAGTCAAGGTTAAGTGGAACCGTAGCTCCGCTGATTGCGATGTCGTCTTTGCACATTTTTATTTTTAATTAGTTTAACGGATTAAGGAAAAAGTATTAAGAAATATAGAAATAGAAATTATAACGATTTCTGACCAATAGGAGTGTATATACAATAATAGAATAATGCAATATGGAAAAATAATAATTTAAAATGATAAATATAGAAACGATAGTTGGTTTATTCACTTCTATTCGTTAGAGAATAGGTAGTTCACATAAAACATTAAGAGTTAGCACTCACAGTATGAAGAACTCGAAGGCGATAATTATTAACATTATCGCTTGGCTGCTCTGCGGGGCACGGTGAGACAAGATGTTCGGCGAATTCCGTAGCTCAGGAGCCGTAGACAAAACTATCTTATCGGAGCGGCGCGGCGTTGTCCGTCGCCGGTATTCGTACTACGATGTCACGACTCGATGCAAACTCGAAGCAGTAGATTGGAAGTTATGCGGTTTCTTTCTTCTTGTAATGATTGATTGGAATGTTGTGATTTAGTAGGATTTGAAAGGATTTTGTGTGTTAAGATTTAGTAAGTATATTAGATGATGGATTTTCTTGATAACACGCCGTAGTTATAACGATAACTCGAAGTTAACTCACATAGAGCAATGAAAGGCCCGTATGCGACAAACACAGGTAGTGTTTGGAGTTCGAGGTTCTTTAAAGGAGTTCACAGTTTTTGATGCACTTTTCACGCACTTCATGTTTCAGTTTATGAATTTTCGGAGAATGATTTTTCCGTGGATTTTCTTTTAAAATCCCTTACGCTGCCACCAAATGTTATGTGGGATTTGTAAAACCACTTTAACTTGTAACTTTAACCGATGTTGCAAATGTCCATGGGCTGCGTTGATCGCTTATCACCATGTGACCCGCATGCTCGTTTGCCTCCTATTCCCATAAAAAAAAAAAAGAAAAAACTTTTTAAAAAAGAAATTTATGAGGGCGGCTACCCCCTTAAAGGGACGACCGTTCTCTGGATTGACCTCGTCAAAACGATACGTTGCGAAGTTGGGGATGTTGAGCTTGACAGTCGCCGGGAGCTTGGTCTCGCCGAGCATCACAACATGAATTTCGTATTGCCTGACGAGGCCTTTAAGCTCGGTGACGCGCTGCCTGATGCCGCCGGGATTCCAGTAAATTATCCTAAGGTCGGGGGTCTCTGCGAGCCGTAGTGAGGGATTGTATGGCGATCAATATCGCCTGCAAAGGGTCGTTGCCCGTGGCAAAAGAAACTAGGATATGACCTAAAATCCGGTCCTAAACACCGGTCCAAATCTTCCCGGTTAAGATGGTCTAGTTTTAGGTGAAATATGGCGTAGGTAGCCGGGAAACCCATCTGTTTGAACGCCTCTTCCAACTCCTCGGGTGAGGTGTCGGTCGGCAGTCCTCGTATTCCCACTTTCGTGGGCAGGTCTTCGGTAGGAGAGTAACAATGCCACACGAAAGTGGGATCTTTCTTGGTCTCCTCCACCAAGTACCGCTGTATTATGCGGAACTCGGACGCTGAGTTTGGGCGGAACCGCATAACGCGCCCGAATGAATGGGCGTTCGGGGCGTGGCCGAGCTGCTTTTTAAGCATCGGTCCCGGGCCCGCTACTCTCCGCGCCGTAGTGCTGGCGCATCGACGAGCCGCTGGTGCTGGCCTCCGGATGGGGCTCCTCATCCGGGGAGCGTGATGGACGCGGCGTCGCCCCGGGGGTATGCGGGGGTTGTACCCCGTCGCGGTATCTTCCTTCTTCCGATCGGTGTCGTCGGGGGAGGTCTGTGGTCGAACGCTCTTCGGCGGGCGCGGTTGCAACGGCTTCGCGGTGATGAGCCTAGCGTGTAATCGCGCCGACTCATCAATCGCAGTCGCATCGCGCCCCGCCTGGCGCTGATAAGAAATGTCATTACCTCGTGGTCGTCTCGTTCCGAGGCAGACGTACTTCGTACCGTCGTATCTGGGCAGGTGTTTCTCGCAGTGCGGCTGACAAAGCGGCGCTATCTATATCCCTCCGCGTGGTTTGTTCCGCGGTAGGGATTTGTACACCAGTATTTAGCAAACTAGTGCTTGCATATACCCCTGTTTCGCTATTCGACGGGGGGAAGGCTCTGGAAGCTTACTAGCACGACTCTACTTCTTGGCGAACGCAAGTGACGCAACCAGTTTGCACTACCCTCTCTTTTACTTACAAAAGTGATAGGCAGTGCGCGTACGTAGTGCGTTTGATACTCCAATAGTATGCAAACCGCGCACCTCTCCCTGCTCGCTGGGCCTCCCTTCGGGATCTCAACCGGTTGGTTTGCCCGCGCTGAGGGGAGCAGGGTGCGCGTAAGTTCGCTAGGACAGCACATAGCCACCATCATCGGCCGGTACGCGCACAGTGGAGGATAGAGGGGAACCTCCCCCTCAGCCCCAAAGGCGCGACAGGCGCGTAGTGCCGGTGGTGGACCGACAACTCGCCGAGCGAAATATGTTCACCGGGGAGCCGTCGCGTCCACTGCCGTCCATCAGCACTATGGGTGCGCAACGCTCCGGCAGACTATCGTCGGAAGCGACTTATACCAGCACGGAGGACGAAGAGGAGGAGGAGACGTCCTCGGAAGCCACAACTATCCGGCAGCTGCCGCAGCCACGGGCAAGCGGGAGCGGAGAGATCGCAGGGGGTTCATATTTTTATGCAGCCCCCGCGGATTATACCCCCCGCCACGCCATCCAAAGGCGCAGCGGCGACACACCCCTCCCGAAACGGAGGCTTCATTGACCGAAAAGAGGACGAAGGTGGGCCCCGCTACCTCATCACCGGAGCAGGGGCCACATTCTCGGGACGCTCAAGTAAGTCAACCTGGGGCGAGGGCTTATTTCCAACCCCCCCAGGTCACCATCCACCAATAACACTACTCCCGCCAGTACCCCCAGTATATCCCCGGATAGGAGGTCAAACAGGGACCTCGAAATGGAAGAATACGGAGGGGAATCTGCGTGGACGGACGCTACGTCCTACGCGACATTCGCGAACGAAGGCGAGAATCAGGGCGCCCGCGTAACACCCATCAACAAAGAGCCGCAGCCGTCAAGATCGTACGCTGCGGCCGCATTAAAACCACCATCTCCAAATTCACAAAGAAGGACCACAGCTCACCTAAAGCACCAACACCTGCCAAGGAAAAGTCCACTCAGGAAAGCACCAGAAAGGGCTATCCCGCAATTATGGTGGAAAAGCTGCCTGAGTGGACTAAACATTTCAAAATATTACAACAACAGCTGGGACACGCCCCGAACGCCAGGCCGTATAGAACCGGCGTCCGATTCCTTCCACAGTCACCACAAGAATATAGGGTGGTGCAAAAATATCTACTCAACTTGTCACAGACCACTGAAAGGAGAATGTTTAAAAATGTATGGAGCGCCGTCTATAATTGCATCCAAACCAAACTTCTTATAAAGGCATTATAAATATTCCTTAACTCATCCTATTTATTATTTTTTAATTTAACACCTGGGTTTTAAAGTTATTTTGAAAAATGTAACATAACCTCAAATCCGCTATAAGCAGTCTCTAGATCACACTAAAGTTCCACCATATTAATTTTTGCATTTACTGTCCTTTCTAATAAATTATCAAAATATGTTCAAGTGCAAGTTGGCAAATCCTAACGTTCAATAACACCTTTAATGATTATAAGGATCAAATGAAAAAAAAAAAAAAGAACCATAGTAGTTTCAAACGGTTTTAATTATATACATTTCATACACAATGTTTTATTTTGCACTTACATGAACCTTATTCATCATGCTCATCAAAAAAATTATCCAAATAAGGTGCTGGAGCTGTAATATCATTATATCGAGCCCATCCCAAATACCACACCACCGTCATTATGTGTGCACAGCATCCAACTGTTCACCTACCAACAAGACAGCTGCAACAATAACCTAATATGGCTTCTAAACTGTTGGACACAGTTTCCTCTTTACTTATTAATAAGTAAGTAAAATAGGTACGACTGTTTACATGTCGGGATTTAATTCTTCCCCTCAGCAGATAATTATTGACACCTAAAATATCATTATCAATTGCATTATTTATTTCAATTGTATACATTCCTGACTGACGAACATGTTCTCCAAAGTAAGAACGAGCCTGTTTTATCTGATATGTACCTAGAGCAAGCCGTTTAAGGTCATCAATGGTGAGTTGTGGAAATGCCTCTATTTGGGGATGGTTGCCATCAACAGTTTGAAAAATCACTCTCCTTCTATTCAGATTTTCTTGCTCAACATATCTTGATAAATGATTTACTAGCATTAGTCTATTTCTTGCTATTTGCACATATTCGAGAGCCTCTGGTGGGTCATTTACAACAATATGGAACTTATTTAATAAAGCACAAGAAATTCTGAAATCATCCCATAGGTGCATAGCAGCTCTATTATTAAAAACTTGACGAAAATATCGAAAATCTCTCTTCACTCTACCGTTGACTAATTACACAACCCAGCGACACATGGTTACTAAACGCGAACGATTTGCCTGCTGGGTTGTTAATTGGTGCTCATTTTCCAAAAGAGACTCTGGCATATGTGGAATAAAACCATGATCTTGGAGTTCATTTATGACATCGCGAAAGCCTCTATCGAGTATAAAAATATCACCTCTTCTAAAAAATTATCTTATAGGTGATTCCTCATTCCTTAAATTCAAACTTGTAATGGCAGCATCATTAATAGTGGCCTTGTATGGGCCCAGACATTCTACAATGTGGCCATCACAACACACAATCATGAAAGGTTTTACCAAATTGTCTAACTTTTGTAAACTAAATGTTTGTTTTTGAAACAAGTAATTAGAACTACTTTGGAGAAACACATAAGTGGCATCACAGATTACAATTGCTGGTTTTATATTTATTGGTAAATTAGGATTACCAAAAAGTCCTTCTGGTATTATTTTATTCCTAAAAGCAACTTCTTCTACAGTTATATGATTAAATCCCAAATGTAATGGGACAAAATCATTTAATAAGCAATTTCTAGCTGTTGTCATGAAATGTTCTAGAGGTTCTAGATTCATTAAAAAGGGTGGCTAGCCGTTCATTGCTGTCACCAGTTCTTAGTTTAACTAAAAAAATAGATAAAGCAATTGTGGCATTTGGTACTTGTCTTTGTAATGATGGAATGCAGTTTAATAAGTTGTAAAAATTGGCAGAGTCCATACCAATCCAATAATTACATAAATGTGAAGGCATAGTCAAAATATTAGAAAAATCTAATTGGTAACTGGCTGCTTTTTGCATTATATTCATTATCATATCGAATTGTATTCCACTAAAATCTCTCAACTGCGAGGTTAATTCACTCCATTCACCATGATCCCTATGGTATCTACAAACACGTGCACCATTTGGTATATAAAACTTATGTCGATACAATAAAAGTTTCTTTATAGAATCCGGTATGAGTAAACGTTCAGATTCAAAACAATTATCAAATACACAGTGACTAGATGTATTAGCAGCACGCCTAAATAAAGATGACATAATTTTTGGTATTGAAGTTTGAACTCACAATGGCCTCATTGGGGGAGGAGGAGGAGGCTCAGGAATACTTGGTGCAGCTTCTAAGCTTGGTCGGTTGGAATCATAAGACTGTTGCCGCTGTACTTCTCTTTTTGCTGACCTCCAGCAAGCAGCACACATATGGTCCATTCTAGAAATCTAAAAGGTATAAATAAAATAAATTATTGTCCTTTTGATCATATGCATTCAATTCAGAAGGAATTATCAGTAAACTTCAAAAATATACCAGGTGAAGGGGAATCATTCTCATAAAAAATGTCCTTTCTTGACAATTTTCTCGTACAAAGTATTTCTTTTGTGTTCGCAAAATAGATTTTCCACATGGTAAACAGACACTCCTATGTCCAAACCCAGGCAGTGTCAAAACATTTGATTCATTCATTGTGTTTACTCGATTTGTGAGTATTTCAAAACATTCATAACTGAAACAAAATGTTTTATATTACTTATGTGATCATAATTTTTATATTGTGTTATATATTACATGGGTAATATAGACAATAAACCAGCTAATTAGCACAATAGTTTAATTTTTGTAATTCATTGGATAATAAAAACTGAGAGAAATACTGATATTTGTAATTGTCCCTTCATAATTGTTTGCTTTGATTAATGTCCACATAAATATATCTCCAATGACACAATTTCTAGTTTTTGAAAAAGCCATAATACTAAATAAACATGTAAAACTATAACTCAGGGTTTGTCAAACGAAAGAGAATTATAAAGCCTTAATAAAACCTCTATAAAAATTAATTTTATAGTTACTCATATAAGGAGTTTGCTTACCTGTGTAGGAGTTATCCAAGACCGTAACACGTTTATTATTTGAGTAGACGCCTGTTCTACTCGATGTCTTTGTTGATTTATAGGTATCAAAAAAGAACAATTGATACACCGGTTTAGCCAGTCAAATGTTCTTAACATCGACCCCTCACGACGGCTAGTAGACATTTTGACTTTTCACACAAAGAACAAAGTGTTTATTAAATAAACGTCCTATCGTCACAATGCACTTTAACACTAATGAAACGTCCTGTCGCAAATATATACGTTACACTGTTGGTTATTAAAGCCAAAACTATAAACGATATATAAATTAGGTGCAATTATATCACTATAATAATATTTGAGTGGAGAGTGCAAACAACTCGATCAACACAACAAACAGAATTATAATGGCCTTAGGCCTAATGGCTGCCCTACCGAGAGACGCGTACGCAGTAGTGAAGCGGCGTTGATGGCATATCGATAGCGTAGATCGACTTTCCAAAATCGATTTCTCATGAAGGTGAATGAATATTATTATGAAGAACTAATATAGATTTAAAACCCGTACCGATAACTATAATTAGAAGATGTATGAAACTATTTTTCCTATTTTATCGATAATACAATAAAAATAATTATTACGATCCGATACATTCTACTCTTAACCGATTATCGAGTATTATCTGTAAATTGATTTGAGCCAGTCACTAGTCTAGTTCCGGATTTGTTGACGATACAAAAAAATAATTTTATTTTGTCGTGTAAAAATCCCCGGTTCAAAACCAAAATTCTGATAGACTGATGGGGCCAAAAATATAAATTTCATTGGGATGCAAAAGAAAAACGGGTACCAAAATTGGTCATTCTCCTTTCGTGGTTCTGTTATAATACCAACGTGCTCCCAACGAAGGTGGGTAAAAGGACTCCCCGAAAGCACGGGCACCGAGGAGATAATGGAGGCCCTATCGTCCATGGGCTTCCCGGTGAAGTTCGTGAAGCTCATCCCTAGCCAAGCGGCCGGGATGTCTATATTTAGTCCAACTGGAACATCTTAACGACCAGGATCTCGCCCGGCTTTACGCAATAGATGAATTGCTGAGTATGCCGGGCGTTGAAGTCTTTTACTGGAAGGGACGAACCGGCCCTTCTCAATGCCACCGCTGCCAAGCATTCGGACATTCGTCGGCAGCCTGTTTCAAACCTGTTAAATGTGTCAAGTGTGCAGGCGGGCACATCGTTTCTGAGTGCCCACTACCACAGTGGGCGCAAGTAAAGTGCGCAAACTGCGGACGTAACCACACGGCGAATGATCGTCGATGCCCCGTTTTCAAAAAGGAAGCAAGAAAACGGGGCATACAACTTAACGCTCCCACGCCGGATCCGCCGAGGAACGCCAACACGGACGGATGGACGACCGTGGGCCGCGAGACATAACACAGCGCGGGGAACAACACCCCCCCGCCCCCGCACCACCACCCGCACGGGCCATCGCACGCCGAGACAGCGCGGCGCCACAGTCGGCCGCGCCTGCAATACGCCCCGCCCCGAGAAAACCCGTTGCCGCGCAACCGCGCGAAAGAGACGGGGAGAAAACTGTGCGACAAGGCGGGCGCTATATAAGCGCTGCACGACCGCCTGCCGCGCCGAGACACACCTGAGGTTGTTTACGTAGCGACACCTGCTACGAAAAACACCTATCGTGAATCTTCGGCACACCTGTGCGCGCTACGGCTAGTAGTGGGGCTTCCAGTAAGCACACTCGCTGGCAGTCGACGCCAAACTCCGTCCTGCGTTGAGCTCCGCTCCGCGACGTCGAGTGGCTAGACAGTAGCGGCGTGTACAGTCTATGTGACACAGTGCGACAGGACGCTATACAGAACAGTTTTTAAATTCAGTGTTTGTGCGCGTAAAGTGATCGTTGCAGTTTTTAACCAGTTTTAACCGATATTCGGGCCCCTTTTATTATAAAAGGGGCCGAATATGGTGCAAAGGTGAAGAACAAAGACATTCCACCGGGACACTAGCACAAATGTGCATATTTTAAACTAAGTGTAGAGTCAGTGCACTATGGCGGACAAGGGAAAAATCCCGCGTCCGTCGACCTCCAAGCCGAAGACCGCGCCCAAGCCCGTTAAGGCTAAGGCGCAGGCGCGGCCAGCGAGAGTTCGCAGCACATCTGCCCCCGAGCACGAGAACGAGCCCGAGGTGAGTAAAATACCTGTTACTCAGCGCCAGGCGGAGCGCGTTGCGACCACGGCTGATGAGTCGGCGCGATTACACGCCAGGCTCATCACCACCACACCGTTGCAACCGCGCCCGCCGAAGAGCGCAAAACCTCGCACTTCCCCCGACGATCTAGATCGGGAGGAAAAGATTCCCAGGCGGGGCCCGACCCCTGCGCAACCAATGGACAGCGCCGCCGCCCCTCCGGCCGCGGTGCTCGTCCACGATGAACCACCACTCTCCCCGGACGACGAACCGCAGCCGGGGCCCAGCACGAGCGGCACGTCAATGCGGCAATATCTCGGCGCGGAAAGTAGCGGGGCTGCGACCGATTCAACGTCATATGCGACGTTGGCCCCCGAGGTGGGGGAACGGTCCAGCCCTGCCGTACCGCCGCCGAGCTACGCATTCATGACGTCCGCTCCACCATCTCCGAGCGCCGCCACACCCGGCACTTCTACGCAGCCCACGCAGCCCACACCCACGCCCAAACCAATGGAGGAGGACGCCAAGGGCTACCCTCCTATCATAGTTGAGTGCTTCCCCGAATGGACGAAGCACTTCGCCGAGCTGAAAAATCAGCTCGGCCACGCCCCGAACGCCCGATCTTTTGGGCGTGGCATGAGGTTTCGGCCCCAGTCAGCTTCCGAATTCCGCATCATCCAGCGGTACCTAGTGGAGGAGTCACAAAAGGACTCAACATTCGTGTGGTACTGCTACACGCCCACGGACGACCTACCCACGAAAGTGGGCATACGCGGCCTTCCGGCCAACACATCACCGGAGGAAGTGGTCGCTGACTTCTGTCAAAAGGGCTTCCCGGCCACCTACTCCAGGGCAATCCAGCCCAGAAGAGGCAGACCGGGCGCCCTATTCTTCCTAAAGCTCGACCATCTGAGCAAGGAGCAGCTGGCCCAACTCTATGCGGTCAACGAGGTGCTCAACATGCCAGGCATTACCATTGAAGCCTGGCATGGTAGAGGAGGCCCGGCACAATGTCACCGGTGTCAGGCCTTCGGACACTCCTCCACCAACTGTCACCGACCACTGCGGTGCGTTCGGTGCTCAGGTGAGCACCTCGCAGGCGACTGCCCCAACAAGGGCAAAAAACCCAAATGCGCCAAGGCCCACTCGGCCAACGATACCAAATGTGCCATCCTGCAAAGGGTGGCCAAGAAGAAGGGGATTAAACTCCCCCCACCATACCCACCCACCGCACCGAGCACGACGGCGCGGCCAACTGAGGAGCGACAAGCCGGTGCCCAAGAAGCACCCCGCCCAGCTCAGTATCAACCTACCGTAGAGCTGCACGAACCTGCAGCTCCAGCCGACCTAATGGCCCCAGCCAACGAGCCCACACCGCGGCAGGAAACTGCCGCCAAGAAGAAGAGAAGGAGGGTGAAAAAGAAGAAGAGCGTCACCCAGCAGCCAATGATTCAATGTGTAATAGTGTTGTTATCTATGACTCTTCAAGCAAAATGTTAAGTGATACACAAACTAACTTTGATATTTTGGACAGATATTCAAGTCTTAACTAAATTATTACGTGTTGTAGCTCGAATTTTAAGATTTATTTCATGTGTCAGACATAAAATCCAGAATAAAACTTGTTTATTGTATCCAGCTTATTTAACTTCTAAAGAATTACATACTGCATTTATGCTTGTAATCAAAATGTCTCAAAGAATTGATTTTTCAAATGAAATTAATGCTATTATAAATAATGATAACAAAAACACTATGTCCTTAAAACGTCTTGAAAATGGTCGTAAGATTGTTAAATTGAATCCCTTTATTTATAAGGATAATTTATTAAGAGTAGGTGGGCGTATTGATTTTTCATCTATAAATTGTGACAGAAAACATCCAATAATTTTATCACAATATTCAAAATTATCGTTGTTGATTGTTAGAGATGCTCATTTTAAAACTTTGCATGGAGGGATCCAATTAACATTAAATTACATAAGAAATCAATTTTATATTATTGGTGTTAAAAATTTGATCAAAAAGGTGTTACATGCTTGTATCTCGTGTCGTAAACAAGCAGGTGTTACTTTAAACCATATGATGGGAAATTTACCTAAATCTAGAGTGACTGCTCAAAGACCATTTTTAGTTAGTGGAGTAGACTTTGCAGGTCCTGTTACACTTAAATTGTTCAGTGGTCATAAATGTAACAGGACACAAAAGGCTTATATTGCTTTATTTATATGTACATCAGTTAAGGCGGTTCACTTGGAACTAGTCTCTAGTTTAAGTACGGAAGGTTTTTTGGTAGCTTTCAGGCGCTTTACAGCTCGTAGAGGTCATTGTTCTAGACTTATTAGTGATTGTGGAACTAATTTCGTTGGTGCTAGTAAAGAATTACAACGATCATTTCAAACAAGTCTTATAAGCTTATCGACAGAAATAGCGGATTTATTGTCCAATGACGGGACTGAATGGCAATTCAATCCCGCTGGAGCACCACACGTGGGAGGCTTATGGGAAGCCGCCATTAAATCTACCAAGTACCATTTAAATCGTGTCTTGAATGATACTAAGCTTACCTATGAGGAATACTCAACTTTGTTATGTCAAATAGAATCGTGCTTGAACTCTCGTCCATTGACACCCTTGAATGATGAAAACGATGGTATAATTGAGGCTTTGACTCCCGGACATTTTTTAATCGTTGAGGCACCTTTTGTTGTTCCTGATCAAAATTTAGAAGATATTAAGGTTCCATATTTGTATAGATGGACATTTATACAACAAAAATTACAATCATTTTGGAAAAAATGGAGTCAAGAGTATTTAGTAAATGTACAAAAACGTCATAAATGGACAGGTGTTCAAGAGAATATAAAGGAAGGAAATATTGTACTTATTAAGGATGAAAGATTACCTCCAGCTAAATGGCTTTTAGGGAAAGTTGTTGCTACTCACCCAGGTACTGACTGTTTAACCAGAGTAGCGAGCTTTAAGTGTAGAAATACTACTATTAAAAGACCTATACACAAGCTATGTATTTTGCCTACAGATTGTTAACGTAATTTGTTTTGTAGAAGTTGATTTACATTTTCCCTACTGATTGTTAATGTTTTCTATTTTGATTTGTTTAACTCTTTATTAGAGGTTTTCCTTTTTGTTACTTTCTTTATATTTCATATTTTGTTTTGTTATTTGAAAAAAAGGGCCTGACGTCCTTTTGGGGGGCGGTATGTTTACGTTATAATGTATCTTATGTTACGGATCAATTTTACTAGATGGCGCTACTTAAGTTTAAATCACGCTATCGTTTGATTGTTCTAATAGGATATGACAAATTGATATTTAAATAAATTTTAGTTTCTGATTCTGTGCCATGTTTAATTGCCTCGTCTAAACAGTAGTGAGAACCATAATCTATATGATTCAGGTTTATTTTAAAGCAATATGGATGGCCTAACTTTACACTTATTATCTTTTTGCCTTTGGAGAATGTTTGTTTTGTTTACTAGAAGCAATTCTTACTATAAGCTATCAATAAATACAACATCCTAAAGAAAAATATCAATGAGCAATTCATGATAAACGTTTTAGTTTTTTTATTTCCATGTTATGAAAACAGAATACATGTTGTTTTGAATAAATATAAATAAAATGTGTTTTTCTTTGATAAAACTTAAGAAATTTTAGTATAAATATCATAATTTATTGGTGCGTCAGCGCAGATCTACGTTCCGACACTGACTACACAGGATGTTTAAATTTTCAAGTAAGTTCCTTTCCTACTTCCAATAAAAAAAATTCAAAGTAATTTTTTATTGTGCTATTCTAGGCACTTAAGACGAAACAATAAAATTTGTAGCAAAAAACATTTTATTTAATGACTCCGTGCCAAGATATTGGCTTCAGCGTCGGGGGTCGTGGGTTCGATTCCCAATGGGACAACTATTTGTGTGACCCACAGATAGTTTTTTCGCATCTGGGTGTTTGTCCGCGTGAAATTTATGTTTGTAAAACGTCCTTACAACACAGGATCAACTAAAAAAATCTACATTGTTTTTTCGCTTTCCAAGCATAGCTTGGTGCATTTATTATTATATCCTTTACAGCATACAATTTAAATTTCACACTGCAACGGTCTATAAAAGGCACAGCGCTAGCCGTGTTTGAGGCCAATCCTTTAGTCGTAGGTGGCGTCATATACAGACCCTTACCGCTAGGTACGTTCCGTCGCAAATGGCGTAGACCACGACACGTCCTCGAGTTCCATGAAGATGAGACGACTATTGCCATCGAAAGGATAGAACAATAACGCAAACACACCAGATCACACCGCATTCGCCAGCGAGTAGAAGCGTCGTTGGAGTTTCTTCCGCCACTTCTCCCAGCGCCAACGCTTTCCGGAATGGTAGTCATGTTAGACTTAGAAATTCTTCCAGTCAGATAATAGCTACCGATTGAGCCGAGGTCTAGCCTTTTTCGGCACCCTCGAATCGGAATGTTAAACAGGTATTGAGTGACATCCCAAGCTGAGATCCCCCTCGAGGGCTCTTGAGCCTAGTCACTCCATGGAGCGTCCACCAAAGCGCCCTAAGAGTTTGGTGGCTTGGCGCCTGAGTCCGGTGATGGCAAGGTTACTTGTCACGCTTGCGGTCGTTAGGGTTGTGGGAAATGGTGCTGTTCTGGGAGGCATAAAGGTGAGACTACAGTTACGGATCGGGTTGCTACTTTCTCGAAGCTCCAGCTGCATCAAGCGATGCTTTGGGTAGATTAATTGGATTCTGCAGGCGTGATTGCCACTTGGTACATTTATGTTTTTCTCTCCTACTCCTCAGAGTTCTGAGGTAACAAACATAAAAAGAATACAGTCAAATTGAGAACATCCTTATTTTTTGAAGTCTGTTGAAAAGAACTAAGCGACCAGTAAGCCAAACTACGTAGAGTTGAATTACAGTTCTAAGTAACCGACACGATCGTTATAAATTCGTGTAGAGCTTTTACAGATCCGCCGGACTTGAGGTAGCAGGGCGCTCGAGGTGCCTTTTTTTATGTATCCCCTGCCACTTGATCGGGGGAGTGGGAGGGGTATGTGAGAGTCCCAATAAGAACGGGTAACCATTAAAAAACCCACGTTGCACCTGTCTCTGTCGCTTCGGCCCGGACACGGGAACACGTGGTTGCAATCTTCCGCGACCCCGGCGCGACTATAGCCTTTTTGGGCCTCCTCTCTACTACATAGTGCTGTGCCCGTGCAATTGGTACGCACACGTCACGAGCCGCATATTGAGCGACAGACACCCCCATGCCTGTCGCTTAGGGTCTCACTATCAGGGGGGAAGGTAGCGCGCGTAGGCTAGCTTCCTGCGCCCTAGTCAACGGCGGTGAGTATCCAGGATGGAAGTTGCGTCCCTTTCTCTCTCCGCGACCTCCTTTCGGGTGATAATGTTCTCGCAGTATGCGAGGAAAGCACCCCATTCCTCTCGCTATCAACCATAGCGCGAAACACGGATGGCAGCGAGAGGTCGTGCCCCACGATAGCGCACAGCTCTCGGCGCTGCTCCGTCCAGACTGGGCACTCTTTCAGCGCGTTTTGGGCTGTCTCCTCGGCACATACGTCACAATGGTTGCATTCCGCGGTGGGCCATCCCTCCTTGCCATGCGAAACAGATACCTCCCAAAACACCCATGTCCCGTAAGGACCTGAGTCGCACGCTCGGGGCGCCTAGCCTGAACCTCGGTTTTGCGTTTTGGTGACTAAGCTCGAGGGCTTCCGAGGGATCCTCGGCTCAGGCCATCACGCTATTATTATCATTACTGGTTTGGGAGGCCACCAAGCTCTTAGCGTGCTTTGGTGGACGCTCCATGGAGTGACTAGGCTCAAGGGCCCCCGAGAGGGGATCTCAGCTTAGGCTGTTACTCAATACCCGTTTAGCATTCCGATCTCAATCGGTAGCTATTATCTGACTGGAAGAATTTCTAGGTCTAACATTACTACGACTTCGGAAAGCGTGGGCGCTGGGAGAAGAAGTGGCGGAAGAAATTCCAGCGACGCTTCTACCATTAACGGGGGAAAACCATGGTGTAATCTGGTGTGTTTGCGTAATTGTTTTATCCTGTCGATGGCAATAGTCGTCCCATCGTCAGGGAAATCGAGGATGTGTCGTGGTCTGCGCCATTTGCGACGGAACGTACCTAGCGGCAAGGGTTTGTAGGTGACGGCACCTATAACTAACGGATTGGCCCCTAAAATGGCTAGCGCTGTTCCTTTTATAGACCGTTGCAGTGTGCTACCCTTCTATCTTCCAATAATATATTTTTGTTCATTTTCATTAAAATAGGTAAATTAACACTAAGTGGATAAAATGTAGGTACTCTACCTTATCTTTAAATTTTATAGCGATGAAGTAATTTCAAATCAATTAAAAAAAATGTAATGTTCAACCAGAGAATTTTAATAGTTTGAAATATTAAAAAATTACTTTTATGAACATCCTATATTTCCGAGTTACAATTTGACACGAACGAAATTTCTGTTAGATGGAAAGGTTTTTTCAAATTTACATTTTATTTATAATATCTGTATAGAATCAAAATGATGTGTAAGATAATTAGAATGTGTAATTCAAACTACGAAATATCAGTACATAGTCGAAAATGAAACAGAGATACATACATTTTATGTTCTTCGTTTATCGTTAAATTCTTAGTAATATTGCATTTTTCGATACGTTATCATTGTTTTATGTACTAAATAATAAGAAAAGAAAAAATACTTATCGTTTTCGATATTTGTTTCATAAAATCAGCAATTCAAATATATAAATGAAAACATGGAGATATTCGAAATAGTTGTGAAAGAATAAATAGGTTTTTACCATTAATAATTCTTTTAGCTATCAAAGTACGGTTCATTCATTCCTTCGCTAATTTCTCGATCGAGTTTCACGGGAAAATTAACTCTATCTAGTCAGCAAATAGCTCACTATTAATCATAAACGATCTGGCGTTCAGATCTACGTTCCGACAGTCAACGGAAGCACAATTTGGCGCGCAGATCTACGTTCCGACAAACCAGAGGTTAACGGGGCGGGTCTACGTTGTTTTGGCTCTCAGGAAAGGGCGGACATCTTAGCCGATTTCTTAGAGGGTCAATTTAAAATGAACCCACCGAATACTAGGGAGCCTGTCGTCGTCGCGCACCACAACCTAGTGAACTGCCGCGTACAGGAATTTCTGTCGGGCCCGGCGCCGGACCTCGGGGAAGTGGCATTTATGTCGCCATCTGAGGTGTGGCGAGCTGTGTTGCGCCTACCGGCGCGCAAAGCCCCTGGGCACGATGGTATTACAAATTCGGCTTTAAAACAGCTTCCCAAGCGCAGTGTCGTCGCGGTCGCGCGTTTGTTTAACGGCATCCTGCGCACAGGTTGCTTTCCGAGTATATGGAGGATTGGTAAGATCTTCGTACTGCCGAAACCGGGTAAAGATAGGAGACAAGCGTCCAGCTATAGGCCTATCACCCTATTATCACACTTAGCGAAACTGTTCGAAAAATTGCTGTTAAAGCGTATGCGGCCGCAAATTAATTTGCGTGAGGAGCAGCACGGTTTTAGAGGCGGCCACTCAACAACTACGCAGTTGACCCGGGTGCTGCACGAGCTTGTGTTCGACAGTAATGTCGGACGCAGGTCGGCCGGAGTCTTTCTCGATATCGAGGAAGCCTTCGACAGGGTGTGGCACCAGGGACTTCTTTTTAAACTACTAGAGACAACATCTATACCGCACGCTATTGTTAGGGTGATAGCGTCCTACCTGCGGGGGAGGGCTTTTATGTCAGTGTAGAAAACTCGGTTTCGGCAGTGCGGAGCATCGAAGCCGGAGTCCCACAGGGAAGCTGTGTTGGGTCATTTATGTACGCGGTGTACACCGATGACATCCCCATACTGGAAGGTCGCCTCAGGGAGGGTGAGAGAGGGGTACACTTAGCGTTATACGCCGACCACAGTGCGTATTTTACGTCATCTCGTCGACTCGAAATAGCAATTTCAACAAGGATGTTCTCATGTTCCTCTTCATCAGCTAAGCTCGCATCTTCATCCAATAAACGTGCAGTTAGATTAACAATAGTTTGTTGTTTTGAGTCCTATGACTACCACGCTTGTCGCAGTGCTCTATACTTGGAAGGCAAAGTAGTCAAGTTATAGGGAGCCGTGAAGAGCTTTTTAAAACAAAAAGTAAAACTAAGAGATGTCTGTAGAGAAGCTCATTAAGAGTGCTACTTTAAGAGTGATCGACTTAATCTAATTCGTCCTGTTGCAGACTTACATTATCTATTGCTTATGGCAGTGTCTAGACATGGGCCACACATAGAGTGCAAAGTCAGCAAGCGTTACTATGCGCGTACTTCTATGACTCTGCCTGGGGTCGAATTCATAATTCCTCCCTCCCCAAGAGCGAAATTATCTGCATTTTCAGGAATCCGATTAATTCGCCCAAAAACACACAATTAATTTTAAAAATATGTAACTCCTACAAAAATACAGAAAATAGTTAGCATACAATAATATAGTTCCTAAACTAACACTTTTAACGTTAATAGCACTGACACTTTCACGGAAATTGACTTTGTTGAGTTTCACTAATTGGTTGAACTGTTTTGTTTCATCTAAACTTATACCTTTTAGGCTCGCTCCATTGACACTGATAGGCTTTATAACTTTCAACTCTGGTAAATTGGGTAAAGCCGCTAATTTACATTTTCCCCCGAAGATTGTTGGTACTTAAAATGGATTTTTCCGATCTCGGTTTCACAAGCATCATTCATGGTGATAATGTAAGTACCATGTAAAGACTCGTGAGTGGCGTCATTGCCGCATTTTCTATTATGATGGGTCGTATCGCTTTTTCTGAGTACCGTATCTGAATCAGATATCGATTTCAAATATCAGATTTCGATACTATGTATTTTAATATCTAGATATTTTACGGCCACCTTGAATTATAAAAAAAAAAAAAATCCTGATAAAAAAATTCAATGAAATTACTATTACCATTACCAGTGATACCAACTCTTCAAAAAAAAAATACTCCTAAATAAATTCGAAAACCCACTAAAATGACTAACGATTCTTTATACTATTAAGGTACAATTTAAACATTACCAAACAAAATTACCTGATTAAATTAAAAATTTCATTGAAAATAGAAATTGAAGTAATATAAAAATGATTTGTTTTAACATCTTATATATCGCTTAATAATTGACTTTAACATATTTTTAAAACACGCAATCATGAGTGACAATATTTTTAGAATTTGTGTAAGAAATAATACATTCAGTATTATAACTTAGGGCGGATAAATTTAAAATATACACACAAGGCACATAAGCCTTGGTCTGATTTCCACCAAAGCAGCACAGCACTATTAAATTATATTTTTCTTTTTATGTAGTTTTATTTTTTTCCAAAAATATGAATAAAATTTAACTAATAAAAATATTCACAAAAAATTTACCTCCTAAAAAATTTCCATTGTATTTCATCCCTCACTATTACGCGCTAGGTACCAATGCAATCCAACTCAAGGCTAAACAAAATATAAAGACATCGTTAATACCGTAATTCGTATTTAAGTGCAACAGAGTTTTTTTCCATGCCGTTAAGATTCAAAATTACTGAACTGCGCGCTTTGTCGCCCGTTACGGCTCAAGGCTAAACAAAAGAATAAAAATATAATAATATCGTTGTAGTACTCGTTGATACCATGATCAGT